TTCCAAGCGAACACCCCCATGTTCTTCCTTAGGAACTGGGTGAGTAGGTCTTTCATTTCTCTGCTCAACTTAGATCCCATATAAACAATATGTTCAGGTTTTTCATTGAGCTGGACTGGTTCTAGCTCTTCTGACGACATGGGCCTAGTATCCATCTCGACCCTCATGTCAAGCTCATCTAGCTGGATATTTTTAACCTCTTTCTGCTTCACCGAGGCCATGTAGCACTCCCTAACTATTCGCTGGTCTCCTTGGACCATTTCAACTCCATTTTCTGTAGAAAATTTTACGACTAAGTGATATGCTGAGGGCATAGCCTTCATTGCGTTGGGGGATGGTCTCCCAAGTAGCATATTGTACGCAGAAAGGGCGTCAACCACCAGGAATTTCACGGTGGTGATGGCTTGGCATGGAGAATCCCCCATAGTGAGCACGAGTTGAATAAATCCCGGGGGTAACACCCTCTCCCCTGAGAATCCCATTAATTGAGCACTTACTAGCTAAAGCTTCTGCCTTCCTATGCCCATTTTGTCAAAGGCAGAGGCAAAAATGATGTCGGTAGAGCTCCCATTGTCAATTAGAACTCGATGAACCATTTGGTTAGCCACAATGGCCCTTACCACCAATGGATCATCATGGGGATGCTGGTAGCCTTCCAAGTATGAATCCGAAAAAATAATGGTTGTGCTCAGCCAAGGTATTTTGGACACAGTGTGCACTTCCATTACTTCACCAGCTCTGATCCTGCACAGGTGTGCTTTCTTGGTTGCACTGGATTTTCCACCGCCAGTAAATCATCCAGATATCACTCTGATCTCCCCTAAGGGTTGCTAGTGCTGTGCAGGGGCTTGTTGCCGAGGTGCCGGTGATGGTGGAGTCCTGTTCTAGTTGTCATGGGCTACAAATCGTCGTAACTGCCTCATCTGGATCAAGAACTCGATCTTCTTCTTTAGCTGAATGCAATCGTCGGTGTGATGGGCATGATCCCTATGATACTTGCAATACTTCGTAGGGTCTTTTTTAGCTGGATCTGCCTTCATTTGTGGAGGTTATCTTAGGAATTTCTCATTTTGCACCTCGTATAGGATCTGGGACACTGTTGCAGTGAGAGGGGTACATTATTGAGGTGCATACCTCGGTTGTAGTTCAGGCTACAGGGGTCCTAAACGGTCCCCCTTCTTTTTANGAGTAGGTCTTTCATTTCTCTGCTCAACTTAGATCCCATATAAACAATATGTTCAGGTTTTTCATTGAGCTGGACTGGTTCTAGCTCTTCTGACGACATGGGCCTAGTATCCATCTCGACCCTCATGTCAAGCTCATCTAGCTGGATATTTTTAACCTCTTTCTGCTTCACCGAGGCCATGTAGCACTCCCTAACTATTCGCTGGTCTCCTTGGACCATTTCAACTCCATTTTCTGTAGAAAATTTTACGACTAAGTGATATGCTGAGGGCATAGCCTTCATTGCGTTGGGGGATGGTCTCCCAAGTAGCATATTGTACGCAGAAAGGGCGTCAACCACCAGGAATTTCACGGTGGTGATGGCTTGGCATGGAGAATCCCCCATAGTGAGCACGAGTTGAATAAATCCCGGGGGTAACACCCTCTCCCCTGAGAATCCCATTAATTGAGCACTTACTAGCTAAAGCTTCTGCCTTCCTATGCCCATTTTGTCAAAGGCAGAGGCAAAAATGATGTCGGTAGAGCTCCCATTGTCAATTAGAACTCGATGAACCATTTGGTTAGCCACAATGGCCCTTACCACCAATGGATCATCATGGGGATGCTGGTAGCCTTCCAAGTATGAATCCGAAAAAATAATGGTTGTGCTCAGCCAAGGTATTTTGGACACAGTGTGCACTTCCATTACTTCACCAGCTCTGATCCTGCACAGGTGTGCTTTCTTGGTTGCACTGGATTTTCCACCGCCAGTAAATCATCCAGATATCACTCTGATCTCCCCTAAGGGTTGCTAGTGCTGTGCAGGGGCTTGTTGCCGAGGTGCCGGTGATGGTGGAGTCCTGTTCTAGTTGTCATGGGCTACAAATCGTCGTAACTGCCTCATCTGGATCAAGAACTCGATCTTCTTCTTTAGCTGAATGCAATCGTCGGTGTGATGGGCATGATCCCTATGATACTTGCAATACTTCGTAGGGTCTTTTTTAGCTGGATCTGCCTTCATTTGTGGAGGTTATCTTAGGAATTTCTCATTTTGCACCTCGTATAGGATCTGGGACACTGTTGCAGTGAGAGGGGTACATTATTGAGGTGCATACCTCGGTTGTAGTTCAGGCTACAGGGGTCCTAAACGGTCCCCCTTCTTTTTAGGGATTGCTCTTTATCTCTTCTGGGAGATCTATCTCTCTTTGGAGATCTGTTTCTTTCCTTCTCTCTCCTGGGACTTTGGTTCCTCTTTTTCTCTTCCTTTCCCTTATCTCTATGTGCGGAAGAGCTCCCTACCTTAAAAAGAAGAGCTTATTCGCCGTTTATATATTTCTTTGCTTTGGCAAGCACCTTGGCCATGCTTTCTTGGGGATTTTTTAATATGGAGAACATCAAATCTTTATATTGCACTCCTAAACTAGCTATGAAGGCAGTGATGGCGAACTTTTCGTCTGGGACATTCACCTTTAACGACTCCGAATTAAATCTTTGGACATAAGATCTAAGTTTTTCTTGAGATCCCTGTTTCACATTCAAAAGGTTATAACTCGACTTTCTATAGGTTCAAGCCCCTATGAAGTAGGATACGAAGGAAATGAAAAGTTCTTTGAAGGAAGAGATTGAAGCCGGGGGAAGCCTGTTGAACCACGTCAAGGCTGAACTCTTCAAAGTGATGGCAAAGGCTCGACAGCGTAAGGGGTCCTGGTACCCGTGCAACTCCATCTGGTTCTTATAAGTGTTAAGGTGGTCTATGGGGTCTGGTTCCTTCAAAGGACTCTATCTGTGGAATGCTGAACTTTGGGGGAGGGGAAAATGCAACACCCCATGCGTGAATGGAGATTCAGTCTGCTGCACCAAGATGTCCATTGTAACTGGAGCTTTACTTCTGACTGCTTCATTCATGTGGCTGAGCTCCTGTTGGATGCCCTTGAAACGTTGCTCCCAATATTGTTCCCTTCTCTCCTGCTGATAAGGGAATACATCATTCTTTTCACCTTCATGGTTTTGACTTTGTATTTCTTCATTGTGGCCATTTCTAGGGGGTGGTTAGGAAACTTGCCCCAAGGTCTAGTTGTTCTCCCCTCTTTCGTTGTCTTCTCTGAGTGGATCAAAGTGTTGTTGATCCCTGTGACGGGGACTAATCTGACCTTCTTGGGCTAGACATGCCTCCTGTGGGCACTGTAAGAGCTTCAAGAGCTCTTCGTTTTGTTTTAACAAGTGTTGATTGACGAGATGAAGGACCTCCATCTCGTTATTCGTGAGAGGATTCCCCATGGGAAGATCAGTCTCTGGGGCGTTCTCAGGCTATCTACCATTGGTGGCTCCCTGTTGATCCTGCATCCGAGGTGGGTTTGTTTGACTTCTGCTCATGTTTCGTGTTGATACCATTAGTTACTGAGAGATCAACTTATTTGTAACAGGAACAATCATTTTCACAAACGGCGTCAAACTGATGGTGCAGACTAACGTGGGTGAACAGAGTGTGTGGGACCAAAGATGAATCTAGGCTGCCAACTTCATAATAACAGTGATGAAGTGTTTCTTAGGGGGTAGGGGAATTTGGACAGTAGGAATATAGTGGTTTACCGGCTCTGGAGCTCTACTAATCCACTCTTTAATGGAGGCTTTTGCTTTTTTTTTTTTCTCTATTAATTACTCGAATGTATTACAGTACAATGCATAATCTAATTAGGGTTTTTCTCGGGTCCTCCCCCCTCGATGAGGCATTACATAATATTTATAAGATTGCTCTCTGTTCTGTGGAATTTCAGCCGAGATCTTTGCCAATTATTTTTGGGATGCTCATTGATTTTAGGAGAAAATCTTGGTTGGTTGAGAGTTTCATGCATTGGGCTCAATTTTCGCAGTCATCCAACTATTTTCTAGTTGGTTCTGCTACGATCTCCCCAAGGGGAGCTCTACTATTAGTTCTCTGAGTTTTCTGTATCTTTCCTGACCTCTTGACTTGAGCTCACGGCTTGTTTGAGATATCATCAAAAGTAAACAAAAGATCACATTGCAATAAAAATATAAATTAAGAATTTTTAAATCTTTTACGTGCAAAATGTGGTTTCCCCCTTCTTTTCGAGCTGAGTTGGCCAGGCGAGTGAAGAACGAATGTCAACGGCCTTACGGTACTGACTTTGCTACTGAATCGAAATTTAAAAATATAATTATAAATTTTAAATATTAAAGTATAATTGCTTAAAATAATTTATAAATCGATAAAAAAAATATTGTGATCAATTATAAATATTTTTTAATTAATTATAAATTCATTTTTAATAGATATAACTTGATTTTAAAAATTAGAGTTAATTACATTGAAAGTCCCTAAAATTTTAGATTTATTTCATTTTGATCTCTAATATTTCAATTGTATCATTTTAGTCATGAAGTATTGAATATGTTTCTATGTATTCTATTAAGCAGACAACATCTAAATTGTTAACAATTTTTTTTATCATAAATTTGTCATGTAAAATCTAAATATGAACAAAAAATAATTTGATAGATCTAGACTAAAATTTGGGTAGCTCTTGACAAAAATTGTGTAATATCGATAGCTCTTAACCAAAATTTAGATAATTTATGATCAAAACAGTATAATATAAGTAACTCTTTGACCAAAATTTTGATAAAAATTTGATTAAGAGTTATCTATTTATTTTTTTGTCATATTTAGGTATACGTGATAAATTTATAATAAAAAATTATTAATAATTTAGACGCGACATAAAAATATATTCAGTATTTCGAGGGACAAAATAATATAATTAAAATATTATAAATTAAAATAAAATAAATTAGGGCCAAACCAATAACGGCCCAATGTTGCATTTAGGGCCAAACTTATGAGTGTAGTACTCTAAGCACGTAAACATCGCGCTCGAAGCTTTCGGACGGGAAAGAGAGAGAGAGCGGTGGGAAGCAAACCCAAACCTATCGACCAATGGGGACTAGGGAGGTTTATGAAGAGAAGCTTCGGACGGGAAATCTGTACCACGATCCAACCATCAACCCTGGCCTCGGTTCACCTCGATGTCCTCGTTGTCTCTCTCTCCTCAACCCCAACTCGGTAATCTATACTGTTCCTTCTGTGTGCCTTTGTATCTGTAGGTTGCTGCTAATTACATGTTCGATGATATGTCTGTGAGAGCAACCACAGTAAAGTGTTGGTTGTGTTTTTCTGTTGAAGCAGGAAAAAGGGGAATGGACTATTACTCCAATCTTGCATGACGCCACTGCTGTGGTACGATCACTATCTCTGTCTTTCACACGCATATTTGGGTATTAATATTTGCTACTTTTGATTGAATCCGAGTGTTTTATTTGCGTAATTCCTTCGTCAGCGCAGGAGTCCTTTCCCCAATCTGTATATGAGGTTGTTAGATTCTTTACTTTTGGGTAATCCTGTTTTCAGAATTCGATTATAGAGTAAAGACCGTTTAGAGAGTCATTCATGAATTTGCAAATATGTGTGCTCAAGCAAATTTGTTTGCTTTGGAATACAAATGGATAAAGTTCGGGTATGCCCAGTATTACTTGTATTAGAAATGATCGTTTGGTTTCAGATTATTTTTAGTTTTTATACTTGTATTACAGATTAGAACTAACAGAGAGCTATGAAAATGGAATTATACGACACACCAAATTGGGATGCAGAATGCTATCGTGTTGTTGTCTTGTATTTCTCAGCAGACAGAACTGACTCCTGAAAACTGGGAAAGAGGGTTTACCACGGATGAAGAATATTGAGCTGTGGAGGCTCATATTTTTCTTATTGTAGGATTAAAGATTCTGATAACTTGGTTGCCTATCAGTCCTTTGAGGTTATAGCCTCGGATACTTTAAAAAAAGAAAGAAAAAATTGTTATTCTATTGCAAATTTTCTAGGCTTCATGAGACCGCCCAGATAGTAGTCTTGATATTGTTCTTGCACTCTTGATCTGTTAATTACAAACCAAAACTTTAAGGTTGATCAAAGTACTTAACTGTTCCTGTGTCATTTGGTATTTGGATGTTAGTGCTGGTCAGTCTTGTGTGGCTCATATATCTTCTCTGCAGACCCTTACTCATATTGCAGGTGGTCTGTTGACAAAATAGTGAAGTTCATTCCATTGCAGCCGTTTTTAACCTATGGTCTTTTATCTTATCAACCAAGACCTTGTCTAAGTCCAGTGTTGGAAAGCATACATTGCTTACATGGGCATTCTAGTTACCTAGTATACCTCACTGTTTCTTCATATTGCAATGTTCATTTGGAGGTGTTTGTTTTTATTTTTTTCTCTTTTGAGTGCCTCTTTCTTATGCATTGCATCGGAATAGGCTGGCTCTGGAATTGGAGGAATGCTAAGTGCAATTCATGGTTTCAACACAGGTATAACTATGTTTCGTTGCAGCCTCTCTCTATTTCTTTCTTTGTTGTACACACATACGCATGTTGCATAACATTGATTGGTTTCAGGGATACCATATGTTCAGAAACATGTGAAGGGACCAAAATGGCTTCCTTTTCTGATTGGGGTATTGGCTATTACAATCATAGTCCTTTTATTTGGCATACTACACGTTAATCAACTTGTATGTCATCAACATAGCTCATTTAAATTGCAATTTTTTGGCAGCTTCCTCCACTGCTGTTGTTTTCTGCTGCTAGTGCTGCATTTGGAGGTAAGTTAAGGTCTCGACAAGTGCATTATGTAGCAAATATTACCATTGAAATGTTTGGTCTTTGATTAACAGCAAACACTCACCATCTTCATTGGAATCTATCAGTCAAGTGCATTTTCTCTCATTCATGAAGTAAGATAATGGATTTGGTTTTTGAATTGGACTTTGGATAATCTTTTGGTGGCTCGAGTTTCCCTTTGGATATATTTTGCCCTCAAACTTCCCATCTCCTCATCTGACCTCTCAAGGTTATAAGTGATACAATCTCCAAGTTCTTTGTAGCTTCTGATATTTCCTTATACTCGGGCCTGGATGTGATTTGGGCTTGTGCACACACTTAATTTTGACTCTAGTTTACTCGAGGTCAATGGAATTAGTAGATAGACTACATCGAATTCCGCTTGACATTCGATGATTAAAAGACTGTTTATGACTATATCTGTTGGTTAAGTTCCTTGAATTGCATATCACGCAAGTTTCCACATGGAGCTCAGTAATGTTCTTAACTAATATTTGTGCTTCATGTTTGACTTGTGTTTCTTGTTCAAGCTTTTTGAGCCCTCATTGTGGATCCAGATCCTTGGCTTTGTGATAATGCAATTATTAAACCCAAGACATCTCATATGAACTCTCATATTTGGAGTATGTTGAAAATTTTCCGTTGTCCTCAGCAGTTTTATTGTACAAACCCCCTTGGAAATCTTGGATTACCAGTATGACCCTCGCTGCTGATATTCTTTGCAAATTTCATCTTTTTTTAACATATTTTGTGGGTTGCTGTATTGACCACCTCTTACCCATGCGAAGCCCATCCGTCCCTACAGAGGTCAGGTCATATACAAAACCTTTTGCTTCTTCTTTTTGATGCATGTTTTGTTGGCTATTATGAGTTAGCTGCGCACGCAAAACTACTTAAAATAAAACCTGGGTTGTACGACAAGTGAAGAAAAAATAATCTTTAATTTTCTTATTATTTGGAAGTTACATTTTATGCATTTAGTATTTGTGTTATTGTGTCATCAATATCCAAGCAGTGTGTATTAGTGGTATGGTAATTCTCCAGGTAGTGGAGGAGTGGAGTCTTTACTGGTTACATTGTAGTGTGGGTATGGTAGGATGTTATTGTATTGTTATGAGTTACATTTTGGGAGAGCCTATACATGCCCGATGTAACTATCAATTTGGGTATAAGTGAATTGAAAGAGTACAATGACCCCCAAAAAAATAAAANGTTATGAGTTACATTTTGGGAGAGCCTATACATGCCCGATGTAACTATCAATTTGGGTATAAGTGAATTGAAAGAGTACAATGACCCCCAAAAAAATAAAATTGTAAGTGTTATTGTCTTCTCATATCAAAATGCTTCCATTATTTGTTTTCTCCAACACAACACTGTACATCTGCTTGAGATATATGTCATAGATTTCCAACTAGTTTTTTCAGTTTTTTAAACTATGCGTGTTTTCGTATTGGTCCAGGAGTTCTCTAACTTGAATTACTGTGTCTATTANGTCATAGATTTCCAACTAGTTTTTTCAGTTTTTTAAACTATGCGTGTTTTCGTATTGGTCCAGGAGTTCTCTAACTTGAATTACTGTGTCTATTAACACGTTAATCTCCAGGTTATGCACTTCCAAAGTTTGCTCAACTCACTGTGACGTCATATTATGCTGCCTCAAGTGCCTCTCATTATGGTATTTCATTGGTCACCAGACATATTGAAGAGACACACACTTCCCGTACCCGGCATTAAAGATTCAGATGATCAGTTGCAGGTGCACAAGTCAGAATTCTGTGTCACTTCTTTCAGTTTTGAAATTAATCTTGTATATATCGGTCCCTACATGTGTGAATCTAAGTAGATGGTTAGGCATGTTTTTATTGCCCTATACACATTTTTTCTTTTATATTTTTGGACTATCACAATGTGTTTCATAGTGATGAATGAGATTTAAGAATAGTTTTTGCTTCATNTATCAATTTGGGTATAAGTGAATTGAAAGAGTACAATGACCCCCAAAAAAATAAAAGTGTAAGTGTTATTGTCTTCTCATATCAAAATGCTTCCATTATATGTTTTCTCCAACACAACACTGTACATCTGCTTGAGATATATGTCATAGATTTCCAACAAGTTTTTTCAGTTTTTTAAACTATGCGTGTTTTCGTATTGGTCCAGGAGTTCTCTAACTTGAATTACTGTGTCTATTGNATGTCATAGATTTCCAACTAGTTTTTTCAGTTTTTTAAACTATGCGTGTTTTCGTATTGGTCCAGGAGTTCTCTAACTTGAATTACTGTGTCTATTAACACGTTAATCTCCAGGTTATGCACTTCCAAAGTTTGCTCAACTCACTGTGACGTCATATTATGCTGCCTCAAGTGCCTCTCATTATGGTATTTCATTGGTCACCAGACATATTGAAGAGACACACACTTCCCGTACCCGGCATTAAAGATTCAGATGATCAGTTGCAGGTGCACAAGTCAGAATTCTGCGTCACTTCTTTCAGTTTTGAAATTAATCTTGTATATATCGGATCCTACATGTGTGAATCTAAGTAGATGGTTAGGCATGTTTTTATTGCCCTATACACATTTTTGCTTTTATATTTTTGGATNGGTCCCTACATGTGTGAATCTAAGTAGATGGTTAGGCATGTTTTTATTGCCCTATACACATTTTTTCTTTTATATTTTTGGACTATCACAATGTGTTTCATAGTGATGAATGAGATTTAAGAATAGTTTTTGCTTCATATACACTGTTACTTGCATTCTCAATTGTACTTAGTTTTATGCCACATTACAGTTCAATTCTATCAATGCACAACCCAGTGGCCCAGGTGCATGCTGGGTTTTGTCGCCATGAACCCCAATCCTGTAGGGGACCAACTGTAGGCATAGGATTCTGGTAATTCACTGAGGGTTATCCAAAAAATGAAGATACATGAGCTGCCATGTGGTTGTTTTGTTGTTAATAGGCTTTAGTACCTGGCTGGTGAAGTTGGTACATAGCTTAANGGTGCATGCTGGGTTTTGTCGCCATGAACCCCAATCCTGTAGGGGACCAACTGTAGGCATAGGATTCTGGTAATTCACTGAGGGTTATCCAAAAAATGAAGATACATGAGCTGCCATGTGGTTGTTTTGTTCTTAATAGGCTTTAGTACCTGGCTGGTGAAGTTGGTACATAGCTTACATCAGGGAAACACTTCCACAAAAGCAAAAAAAGGAAGACCCACAGAAAATACACACCCCACCAATCCATCTAGGTCAGGTTGTTGTTTTGTTGAAGAGCACACAATGGTTTGAAACTTGCTGTTGTACTTAACCTTTTACACCCATATCGAGAGAGAGAGAGAGAGAGAGAGAGAGAGACACATACCCACACTCGCACTAAAAATTAAACTTTGCAAAATGGTATCAGAATTATTTTTACACTACAATATTCCTAAAAAAAAAATATTACTGCAAATAATCCATTTCTTCACGTATCATTCTCTAGAGTCTAGATGTTATTCATTGCCNGCTGTTGTACTTAACCTTTTACACCCATATCGAGAGAGAGAGAGAGAGAGAGAGAGACACACACACACACATACCCACACTCGCACTAAAAATTAAACTTTGCAAAATGGTATCAGAATTATTTTTACACTAAAATATTCCTAAAAAAAAAATATTACTGCAAATAATCCATTTCTTCACGTATCATTCTCTAGAGTCTAGATGTTATTCATTGCCGCGCTCTCTCAATTTTATTTCTTCACATATTTTTCATTGGACACTCGAGTTCTTTTGTTAGTCTCTCTAATGGATAGTCTTACATCAGCTTCAGAGATACCAAATTATTGTGCTTTCCAGTAGTATTTGCCTGGTCCTGGTCTAAGTAAGCAGCTGTGAAAAACCACAAGATAAAAGCAGGAAAGAGCCACCAAAACTGTATTAGTGAGTACCATCATGTATATGTGGTGTCATTGTCCATTGTTGTAGCTCCTGCAGGTCCCGCTGACTAAACTATACTCTTGAGTCTTGAGATGCTTACTTCAACTCTTCATGTTCATTGCGAAAACTGGGTACTGAAATTATTATTTTTTGATACCGGTACCATCGGTTATTATTTTTCATGGAAAATTTACAATTTTAAAATAAGAAGTTATATTTGTTCAAAGAAAGATCATAATCAATCAAATGCATCCATGATCGAGTATAAAATCTCGATATTGATCACAACTTTCCATGATCGATTATACCTTTAAAAATTATAACTTATACCTTATAAAATTTATAATTTTACCTTCAATAATTATAAAGTTTAGTAGCGGTATTGATGCGGTACCGTATCCTCTCCTTGTTCATGGAGACACAAACTTAGAATGATCAGGTCCTATTTATGCTTTCGTGTGGAGCTTGCTAGCCTTTAGATTCTATGGGCATGCCCCTCGTATGGTTCCACACTTCATCTATCTGCCATAAGCCAGCTTACATTCGTATCCTGCTAGCACTATGCTTGCCATGTATAGGTGGGGCTTAGTATGACACAGTACATCAACGTTAATTGTAGTGTTCGATGAGGGTTTTTCTCCTTGAATTGGACGATCCTACATATAGAGCTGTTAATGGGTCGTGCTAGGTGTTGTTTTTAAATCGTATTACTTTCTAGATGTCATGTCAAAATTTTCTTAATTTGTATTCAATTTATAATATAAAATATCACAGATTTTAATAAGTTCATCCAACGGTCTCAAATAAACTCATTTAACGGCTACCAAAGNAACGGCTACCAATATCTCTTTCAAAACAATTCATGTTGTACCGTACTTTCAGACACGAGTTATCTCTAATACATCTATATAATAAAACAACTAATAACTTGAATTTTTATCTCTTATATTTTTCTTTCAAAAAATATCACATTACCTATTTTTATTATATGTTTAATTATTTAATATTTAATTAATTTATAGTTTAACATAATCTTTATTTTAGATATTATCCATACATGATAGTATATACATGTTGAGAAAAAAAATTCAGAACGTATTTTGAGAATTTTTTTTCAATATTTTTAAGAAAATAATGAATAAAAATAAATTTTAAATAATTTATTCAAAGAAATGAAGGACAAGAAAATTTGTTATTTAATATAGTGAAATTAATTTTTTGAATGCTCGAATTTTATATTTTATCGTACCTTGAGGTATGGGTAATGACTAATTTATATATAAGTCATGCTTAATTGTGTATGAGTTTTTCTATTTATCAGTTGAACTCGCTAAAGTTAAACCAAAATTGTCAAATTTCGTGTTGGTTTCATGTTCTCGTGTTGGTAAATAACAAATTTACTACCCTTCACTATGTACAAGTGTTGTATCTAATCACCTTTATTCTTTTACCAAACAAAACTAGTTCTAAAACCAACAAACTCTCATGTCCCACCATTTTATTTTCTTCATATCTCGCATCCTATTATCTCACACATGCACACACAAAAACACGTTTGTCCAATTTGGAAGCTGGGAAAATTTGTCGAATAGAGAAAATCTCACTATCAAAATTAAAAAGTAAGATGACATTGTATCGCATTTAGAATTCAAATGGGTACGTTTGGATGACAGTAATTTTAATTAGGAATGAATATTTTATTTTTAGTAATGAGATATCCGAATTTCAATTACCATAGTAATTTTATATTTAATGTTTGATTATTGTCAGTAATTTAGTGTGAGAATTAATGTTATTGTCAAATTATTTTAGAAAATAATTTGATTTTAAAAAGGAGATTAATTTTAAGAGAAGAACTTAATTTTTAAAATGAAGTTAATTTTAAAAAAAGAGTTTCATACAAGTATAAGATTTTACCATCATTAGCCATGGGTTTAGAATACCTACTATTATTGAAAATTGAATTACGGTAATAATTTTATTCTCGAGTTAAATTATTGAATAATTGACTCTCCAAATTTAATAATCTAAAATTTAGGAACGAGAATCTCATTTTCAACCAAAATTATTGTCGCCTAATCAAGGCATAAGGGGATGACTATCCAATATTATAATTTATTATAAGGGGAAGGGGGAAGTGTCATTCTAAATTAATAGTAATTCATTTTTTTTACTCAAATTAATGCACCAAATGATGGAAAGTAGGAAGGATGAAAAATAGAAATGATATAATTTATATCCTTTAAGGATGTAAAGTACGAATGATATATTTTTTTTTCTTTGTATTTGGGTGGATAGATGAAAAATAAAAATGACTACATTTTTTTTAAAAAAAAATTTATTCAATATTAGGGGTGACAATTGAATCGTGTCGTGTCAAATTCGTGTTGAATCATAAAATTATGAATTTTTTATATTTCTTGTTCTCGTGTCAAGTCATTTTCAAGTTCGTGTCGAGTTATAATTAAGTTCTTGTCATAAAATTCGTATCGAATTTAAGTCGTAACATCGTGTTAAGTCGAAAATTTTTATCTCTGGTTAAGATGAAAAATTATTTTTTTTAATTTAAATTTTAAATTTTTTTATTTATTTTTAATTTTTTAAATATATATATTATCATTATATTTTTATATGAAATTAATATATACATAATATATAGAAAAATAAGATAAATCTCAACATAAATAATTAACTTTTCATCTACTTTCTTTCCGATTTCGAAGGAATTGATTTTTGTGAGTTGGGCGGAAAATTAATTCATCCACTTCCCATCATTCCTATTTTCATTCCTTATCAAACATGATATTTTATATATCCCTTCAATTTTTCATCTTTCCATTTTTCTATCATACCAAACAGAGTATAAGAGAGATATAAACCTTTAATGGTGAAATTTTATTATATTTTAAAGATCTAATAATTATTTTTACTCTCTTTTAAATTTGAATTTGTCCTCGTTTAAATTTAGATATCTCATTCTTTAAATTT